AAATGCAGAGCACGTGTATGCATATTCTCCAGGAACCATAGACAAACATAGATCATGAGAACCCAGCTGTATATGACCCTGGGTGCCATAAACAAACTTCACTGTGACACGCAAACACGACACCACTCATAAAAATGTATATTTGTCTGATTGCACCTGTGCCTGTTCAGCAGTCCCATCTCTACGTGCCCATGGGCACTTATGTACGAGTAGATCTGGATATCATGAACTCTGAGTGTAGCAGTCACTCAAACAGTCAGGAGGAGACTCAAGCACAGACAGACACCTAACCTGTAATTAGTACACAGGCAGCTCTCCTTTCTATAGCCTCTGGCTCAGCGCTGGCTTTCCAAAGCATGCGGTAACATCATTTGTAATTCAATTTTTCTTCATATTACCTGGCAAACATTTCACAGGTTTGCAGGCTGTAAAATATTTTGTTTCTGCACAAAGTCCAATCAGAGGGAAGCATAGGGAGCTTTTCCCTTCAAATCAGCTCCATTCCTTTGTGTTTAAGAGAAATGCATGTAGGGATGGCATCCAGCGACAACGATAAGCACTGCAACACTGGACTTTCTCACTATAAACAAAAACGAGGCTGTTCTGCTTCCACATGACTAAGCTGTGTTGATCAAGTGAGGACAAACAGCACCAGAGGCTACCAGAGGCTACCAGAAGCACATGGCCAAGTCCACACTTATGAGCACACAAGTAGAGGAGGGGGGTGCTGGCAGAGGCTGAATGTGTTTGCCCGCTCCAGGGAGAGAAAAGAAAGAAAGGGCGCAGAGGCGCTGAAACAAACGCACGCTGGCCTCTATTAGCTGGGCTGCGGAGCGAGAGGGTGAGGAAACATTCATTCTTTCTTCACCATCTCCATCCATTCTCGTCCCTCCAACCATCTCACCCCATTATCTCCATTCTAGAAGAGCGGTGGATGAAAGGGACAGACACACACACTGGCGACACTTCTCCCTCCACCAAAGTTGCGCCGACGCATTCTGACGGCTGCTTAATTGTACGTGATACAGGCCGATTCCTTTCTCTTTCAAATCTAAAACAGATTGCTTCTCCCTGGGGAGGGGATTAATGGACAAGAGACGACAAAGCAAGGACAGTCCAGCCCTCTAGGAGGCGGAGGACAGAGGGGGTAAGCTTGTGTAGCAAGCACACACACACATTATGCAGCAGGATAGTGTGTGTGTGTATGCATGGCTTGTCTAGGTTCCTCTTTTATACGTGTCTCTGTCAAAAGGAGATTATGCTTGTTCCTGTGTGGTTCAAAAGCTTGCGCTTGCACATTACTTAGCCTGAGATCAAGGCAACATTGCCAAATCTTCCTTGGCCTTTTGAAACTTTAACTTTCCGAGTCTCTTTATCACATCTTCACACCTTCATTATCTTATCCCATTTCCACTTCCCGCTCTTCAGCCATCCTTAAGTCTAGACAGCGTTTATGTGAAGTGTGGACAAAAGCTGCTCCGGACATCATTTAAAAAAAATTCTTCCAATTAAAAGTTTCACAACAAGCAATCAAGCCTTGCGCTGTAAACTCTACAGCCAAAAATGAAAGGTTAAGGCTCTTTCCTGTGTTTTCATATCGAACTGTTTGTTTAAAAAAGAAGCAGAAAGAGAACCAAACAAAACCCTAAAATATAAAACTTCATACACACACATTAAGAGTACTCAGTGATGAATCAAAGGTTGGAAGGCTAGAAATTCTCCCGTGTTTGCACGCCCTGACCTTTCTCACTCAAATGACAGGCAGAGCAAACACATGGGGGAGCTATTGTAAGCTCCCAAATACCTCAAAATAGATCCATGTCGTGTGTCTACACATATCCAGATATGTGCAACATACTCATGACGGTATCTCAAACGTCAAGGGTGACGTTCTGAGTCAATGATCTGAAAAGTAATGTTTGATTCAAAAGTTCCACGAGCAAACTGAGAAAGTGTCTGACTCACCTAAAGACAGAGTGTCTCGATCCCACATAAATAAAAGCACGCCAAATACGATAGGATAGGATGGGATGGGACAATCGACTCCAGGGCTAGTGTGCAATCAGGCTAGGAACGCTATCATTATACTGAAGAGATAAACAAGTGCCAGATGAGAGAGGGCGGTTTAGGAAATCTTTTCTTAACATTCTGGCACATAAGAGAACACACACAAACTAAAGCCATTTTGGCGTAATTTTCTGGAAAAATTAGAGAAAAGACAAGAGCTAATCTTCAAAAACAAATATATCAACATTAGTGCAACGGATTACCATTCATTGATTGCAATCTCCCAAAAATTATAAAGGAGATTGATTTGTTTACTTTTATTTTGTAATTATGTAGACTTTAGTCTTACAAAAGGGTGGACAGTCGTCTGCATAAAACTAATGACACCATTCATATTAGATTTTGATGCATGATGCCGTTGTCATCTTAAAGGTGTGGGACACTGAAAAACCCACATTTGATGATTATTCCTGATTATAATCTGTCACGCTGAGTTTTTCATGTGGGCTGAATGTGAAAATAGTCTCCTACACCAATATCCTGCATTAGCTTCTGATAGAAAATAGACAGTGAAATGCTACAATGTGAAAAGCCAGACAGATCTACGTCACACTCTCACTTAACATTCATGGACTCACCTATCTTGACTCACTAACGTCCTGGAAACAGCAGGGAATGTCTCGACTAGTAGAAGCTACCCGTTAGCATTAGCAACTCCACCACACAGCTGAACTCCTACAAGCTTGTGTTATTTGTGGAGATGAAACATCAACATTGCAAATAGGTGGTGGAGTTGCGTTGCTGTTATCCAATCAGAGGTGAGATGAGAGAAAAAAAAGACTCCAAAACCTGTCGTCTGAAGCTCAGCTGTGATGTGGGTAATCTCTAGCTCCTGGAAATTGTGCACCGATATACCTCCCCACCCCACCCCACCCCCGAGTACAGCTTATAAGGCATTCACTCCTACTAGAGACCACTGCAAATGTATTGGTCAAACGAGTGTTCATCTTCAAATCCCGGATTAATGACCGAAGCAGTCCAAATGTCCATACGCTCATAACACACCACACAAGGTGGGATTATCTTGTAAGATTATCCTTAGAGCCATTATGGTGGTTGTGTGCAACACCAAGATTGACTATCCTGCAGTTTGAACTGGGCTCGAGCAACACGTCCTTAAGGAAACGCTACAGACAACAGAAGGTTCCAGGGGACGGTGATAACTCTAAAGGTTTACAGAACAGAAAAGAACCAACAGATAGTTTACCATCCCATCTTGTTATAAGAAATAACTCAGGAAAAAGTATAATAAAAGTGCAGGTATCAGATTGAGACTTGGCTTGGACCGGAATTGGGAACATCCTGTTAAAACCACAGATAATGCCAACTTCTTCTTCTTTTCACTTAACACAACTTACCTCACTTTATAACCTTCACACAGACACACAAACACACACGTCCCCTAAATAGATCCGAATGATGGCTAAGCTGCTACTGAAACAACATTTGTCTTGGCAAGCATCTTAACACCCCCCCGAATCTAATTATTTACAGCAGCTGCCTGTGCTCTTGGTTGAGGACCTTAACACTTTCTAAAGGATCCATTTTTCCCTCACAGGGAGAACTGAGTTATAAAACACACTGAAGCAGCTTTCCAGTGCAAGGTTTGGGTGATCGCTCAGTCCAGCCAATGTTGGGTGAAACCGGGACCAAGGTGTTGGATCTGCACATCAGACTCATCACTGGGTAAATTCTATAGTAAAAGCGCTATTCTCCAGACATCGCCAAAGTACTTGGGCATTGAAATAGAAGCCAGCTGTTTTACGGTAATCGTGCCTGATGTACAAGCAAGTCGGCTTTGAATGGAGCCACGCAATAATTTTGCCATTTGGGAAAACTGGGTCAGGTGGATAGATGCTCTGGCTTTTGAGAAGCGGTGAGTGCACATGCTGAGCCAGAACGTAAGGAACTGATTTATATGAAATCGAGACTTTAAAAAGAAATTTAAACTATACACATGCAACTAAATCAAAGTTTTCTGGCAGAGTTAAGATCAGACCTTCCCAGCATGCCAAAATAAAACAACTGCCTTTTTCTTGTCTTTTTTCTCAACAATCTGCTTATTCATGTCATTCACTCATCAACTATCGGTGGACATAGAAGTGTAGCCATGGCTGGTTTACCAGAAAGTAAACACAAATTCACACAGCAGCAGCTCTCACCCATCCAAGCTTCTCACAGCTGGATGATCTCCATTTACAAACTCCTCAGATGCGTACACTCTACCTGGAGCGGAGTATAAACACTGTACATCATATTCCCACTCCACCGGACATAAGTAGCTAAAGTAAGGTGTAGATTCCCAGAGTTTCTGCCTCTTTGACAGTTTATGCGTAAAAAAGCTTTTCAGCTGCTCCCATTAAGCTTTTGCTGACACAATCTGACAGAAGTAAACGCTGAATGAGATTTATTCAATAACTGATGGTTTATGAATATAGGGGGTGTTAGAGGTTACATGGGGATGTGGAAAAGTGGAAAAATCTTGAAAAAATGTGGAAAAACATAATTTTATGGTGAGTCTAAGAAACCAAGGAAGACTGATATTAAAATGTTATCATTTAACTGACTCTGACAATGTTCCTACATCTACAAAAAGTGCTGCTGACTTTCTTGTGTGGATTCAGAAAAGTAACAACAGGTGAATGAATGGCTTGAGTGGGAAAAAACTGACATTAATGGAATGCGGTGCCCTCTAATCCCTTGAGACGGAGGAATTTGCGACGGAGGGAATTCCTGTCATTCAGGGAGAAAACTATGAAATCCTGCACACACACACTCAGCTCTACAGGCAACACGGACTGCAAAAACTGCGCAGAACTCCGCAAATCTCTGTTAATGGAGATATAAACCTACTGCGCACACTTGGAAACTGCTGTTAAATAAATAGAATCTTTGAAATTAAGAAAAATAGAAGTAAAGGATCAGGGAAGTACCTGGAAGGCAGCAGAGAATGTTGGCTGAGCAAGAGGAGAGGCTAAAGATTCCTCTCAGATGTATCCTTCCCTGGATCTTCCTTTTTGCGCATGGAGGGGTTTGCGTCTTGGCGCTGGGATTTTCAGTTTCAAGAGCGCGAAGGGAGGGACCACACAGCTCCTGGAAGACTACCTCTCTCCTCTAATCCTCTCTCCGATGTGATGACACTCTCTAACCTCGACCATCTGTTGAAACACGTCCCGGAGAAGTCAGCACCACGCTGTGTCGAGAACCCCACTCCTCTGCCCAATCACAGCCCGGCTGCTGGGTGGCTCCTCGCTGCCAGGAGGCAGGGACAAGGACAGAGCGCAACCATCGACATTAATAGAGCGCAGCGCGCGCGCGCGCGCACATACACACACACACACACACACACACACACACACACACACACACACGCACGCTACGAACTGAGCGCAGAAAACCCCCAGCCATCGTAACCTGAGAGGCAGCGCAGGACAGGAAGAGTGAAAGGAGTTGGAAACAGGAGAGAAAGGAGCAGGAAAAAGAACAAAAGCGTGTTTAACACTAGAAAAGTCATGGCAGGGACTGTTATGTAATTTACATGTTTAATTACTTTACAGCCTTTTCCTAAAACAGCTACATTTTCATTAAAGTCCTATAACCATCATCACAGACTGGTGAAAGGACATCTGACCCATCCCATGGGCAGGGGCGCCTCCAGAAAGTTTTGATAGGGGTGGCCAGATGGGGCCAAACAAAGTTTTGGGGTGGGACACCAGATTGGTCCTTTCAACTCTGGGAGAGTTTATTAATATAGTTTTAACAGACTTTATTTTTTTAGCAAAAAAAAAAATATATATATACAGTACATATCCAAGACAATGAACTTAAATTTTACAAACAAAATCATTTCACAAAAGTGCATTTCAGTCACTTAAAATGTTATTCCAAATGTAATTTAAATTTTTTTTAGGTTAATTCACCTGTTGATGTGTTCACAAAAACTATGGAGATAAAAACATTTTTAATCGGTGAGCAGCGGAAACGTGTATTTATTTATTCTGATTATTTCTTTACTTATTGATTGTATTATTTTTATTTTGTTTTACAATTACATCTTGAACAAATAAGACCAATATATGGTTTGACAGAACATAAATACGATTTATTAACACTGACTTGTTGGGGGGGGGGGGGGGGGGACACAGCACTTTTCTAGAGGCCACCCCTTGGGGGTGCCCTTGCTCATGGGGAACGGTGAGCTGCAGCTGTGGCTGCACTCAGGAACTATTTGGTGGTTTAACTCCCCAATCCAAGCCTAAAAGCTGCGTGTCAAGCAGGGAGTCATTAGGTCCCATTTGAAAGTCTTTGGTATGATCCAAGCAGGAGTTGGATCCCATTCTCCCAGTCCCAAGGCAGACACTAGGCCACTAGGCCACTGAGAAGTTAACGAAACCACTGAGAGTGTAGTATAGTATAGTAGAGAGACAAAATATGATGATTTCTACCCGTTTCTGTTCCAGGCAGACTGCCAGAGAGTCTCTCGCCAGTTCTGGGCACGATGAAAATAGAATGCAAGTTTTATAGTCAAAGAGCATCTCCTGGCCTGGCAAGTCATCCTATATATGCGAGTATGGGGAGCCTAAGTCTACTTCCGCATTACGGGTCCCCAGAAGAACGAGAAAATGAATGCAAGTCAACGAGGCAAAAAACGCTATTTTCTAATCCGCTTTGCCTTACGCCCTGGATCGCACATATGGTGTGCTGCAATTAAAATAAAAAGTAATGATGGGTGTTTTGAACATGCCAGTCATGTACTTTGAGATTTATTAGCTTGTAAAAGTTTAAACATAGCATGACTTTAAACAAGAAATCGGCACATCACATATAATCTCCTCTCCCTTAACATAGCTGCTACTTACCAAATAACCAGATTTATGGTGGTTCTTTCCTCTTGTGGGAAGTTTGCTTTACTTACAGCCATTTTTCCTCAGTTTTCTCTGTGTCTGGTTCGATGACGTCACTTTTGTGAAGCACATTTGTAGTCCTGGACTTATTTTCACACAAAACCTAAAAAATTGTTCCCCCCAGTTTGAAAATTAGCGCGTTCTTGGTATCAAAATGTGTCTTTAAAATTCATGGACATCACATGTGAAATCCATGGCACAAAACAAGCGGAATTAGAAAATGGTCCAGAAGTGATTTAGGATCCCTATATAGTCTGGCCACGAACCATTGATGGCTCAGTTGTGGGGCGGGATCTACAGTTGTCTTTCAAACTGTCTCTGCATGCTATTGAACAACAAACAAAGGTTGTCAGTCAAAGGGGAAGTCCACCATTACATGATGGAAGATGACAAAAATGGTCCAAAATGTCCACTAAATAGTCCAAAGTTGATGCCGAAGGTGTTTCAAACAAAACGACTCCATATTTGTTTGACTCAGCCACGGTAACGTCCCGTCCACCTGACTGATAAAATGCTGCGATTGGCCAACCAAACCAACAGAGTGCTGTTATTGGACTGCTATTGTTTTCCTACATAAATGTGCTGTGATCGGCAGAGCAAAAGACTGTTTGGGCCAATGGAGCGTGGTTAGACCAACAAGAAAAACAAAATCATTTTTAGTTTGGCAAATAAACATCTCCAGCATTAAATCAGCTTTTCTCTTCCTTGTAATTTTATTTGTCTTTTATAATAAAGGAAGAGAGAAAAAGAAACTTGACCGTAGAAATACCATTAGAAAGACCAACAACATGGACATTCAGGGTTCTGAAACATTTGGGTGTTATTTTTGGTTGGAAAGAGATTATTTAGCTAATTAATTTAAATATTATCTAAAAGTATCAACCTACAAGGTGAACTTATTGACCTTCAGATACAGCCATCAAAATGAATATAGATGGTTCTAGTGACGTTATGGTGGCAGCTCTGTGGTAAATGGTCTGTATTTGATGTAGCACCAAATAGTTCCCGAGCACAGCCACAGCTGCAGATCACCTCTCCCCACAGGGATGGGTCAAATGCGGAAGTGAATTTCACTTCAACTTTCCTATATTACTTTAAAACAGCAATTTTCTGACTTTCAACCCTTGACACGTAGACTTAACATCACTACATAGACCTCACTCATTCAGCTCCTCCCTGCAGCCACGGTGTATGTGGTCCAAATCATTTTTTAAAAAGCAGTAAAATTCTGTATTGGCTCCATGGTGAGAATGCTGTTGGCACTTAACTGTTACATCTGCAGGCACAGGAGCATTCACACCTCGGTGTGATAAATCCTCACAGTCCCCAAGGCTGCATTCCTGCCCTTCACCACCTATTGCCTTAAGTCAGAACAGAGGGCAGAGGGGAGGATGCTAAAATTACAAAGCGAAGGAAAAGGATGAGATAAAGAGGAAAGAAAGAGGAGGGAAAGAAGCATAGATAAGGAGAGGTCTTGGTTTACAGATGGCAGCAGACAGATAAGGCGTTTAACATTTACTTTCAGCACTTATTAGGGTCGCATTTCCTGAACTAATCAGCCAATTTTCAAACCCTTCACCCAAAACAAGAGGAAATGAGTGGGAAAGGCTCTAGCGCGAATCCACCACTGTCCTACTAATTGACCCTTTTAAAGAGGATTACGAGAACCCGATGATATTTCGGGTCCAACTTCAAAGGCCAACCCTAATGAGGTAATTCCCATCTGATAACCAGCAGCATCAGCGGGAGTTAATCAGAGGTGTGAAACGTCAAAGGAAGACTCTTAAGGTTTGTTTACATTCTGTAAACAGTGTGAACACAATGGCCTCTGTTTCAACTGGTCCTTTAGTAAATACCATTAAGTCTATAATTATTGATGCCTTTAATGTTCTTTTTCTCCAAATCGACCTAATTGTGTTCGGACAAAACCCTTTACTCTTAAAAGTTTCATGTTACGGCGTAAACATCCCTCAGATCGCACATGTGGATCAGCTTCTTAGCTTTATTTGAAAATAAAGCACAAAGATAGAGTCGTGTTTCTGAAGTGGATGCTCCCAGTTCGGTTCCCTTTAGGCGTGCGTTAAACTAAACAAGACCACATGAAACTGTCAGCAGCTTGGACTGATGTTTGAAATAGAGGCAGTGGTGAGAACGAGTGAGGGCCTTAGGGGCAGAGTGCTCAAATTAGATTAACCAAATTCACAAAGACTGTCCTTAGCCCCTCCTGCATGGCTACACACAGCCTAATGCACACCTCCAACCCCAAACTCCTCATTCTCACGGCCGAGAGGTTTCCAAAAGGCCTTCGGGAAGGCCAGGGGCGGCCTAATCTCTGGTCTCTTTACTGGATTAAAGATGGCTGGCCCACTAAGGGGCGAAGGGCTGTTTTGTCAGGAGCTGAGCACATATCTAAACATCTTAAACCCAAATGGACAAGAAAAGGTTATCAAAGTGTGTTTTGATGAGACAAAAATCTACATCAACCGAACAAGGACTTCGGATTGAAAACTTCTTACTAATTCATTTCCATTTCCACCTCCACTAACGGACACAAAAGCAAGGCAAGGGCAGAAGGAGGCCTCTAAAAACGGCCTGCAGGGGGGATAGTGGTTCTCCGGTAACCCACTCACGTTGCTTCTCCTTATGCTTACTTTAAAAGAGTTTAAAAACAAATCACATGGCAATCTAACTCATGCATTACCCTTATTTTAACAGTTTATCTTAATTTCTGTTTTATATTATTCCAGTGTGTCTCTCATTTCAGTTCCACCCTCTTCTCTCTTTACTTGTCTCACTTCCCCCCGTTCCTCCAGCTTTCCAGCATCAGTTGGGCTTGCAGGTGCAGGCAGAGGCCAGTGTTGGGGGGCTCCTCGGTTCACTAGCCCCATTCTCTTTGGCTGAATGAGATACATAAGGCTGTCAGAGCTGTGATTCTGCTTGTGTCGGTACAGACTGCCAAAGCTGAAGTGCGGAGATGTAGCATTATGAAATACGGCCACTTCCGTTTTAACCTCTCACTAACTGGGCTTTGACTGCTAGCACCTAGTAAGAGTAGTACTTATCTTCAGCTATAATCACACTGATTTAGTACTTAAAGGATTTTAGATGGACACGCCACACAATTTGGGGAAGTGCATAAATTATCATTTAGTTAACAACTGACTCAATTTTATTAGAAATGTACACATTCTAACGCCTGAAGTGGCTAAAACTGATGCGGGGTGACCAAGCGTTTGTTTCCGACGTGTTGGGAGACCCAACGTGTCACTTTACGACGCCCGCTGTAAACTAGAGATTTCATCAAATTGTGACCTTTACCCTCTTATAATTTAACCTTCCCCTCACCCCCATCC